TACTTACCTGTCCAACTCCGGACTTACCTGTCCACACCAGCCTGTGCCTCTGAGCTTACCTGTTTATACATACAAACTTACCTGTCAGTCGTCAAAAATGATTATATTGTTTTTTAAGATTTTGTAGACCACCAAAGTCAAAATACCTACGCTATACATAGGTATTGTCACTTTTGTATGCTATCTATTAATTATTTATTATCTGTGCCTGGAGTCAGTATAAGCCCTTATATAGGTGGAAGCCTCTTGGCTGATAAGCTGGATACAATAATTCAAAAACAGTATTCGGAACCAATCTGCATTTCGTAGTAGATGGATGTCATTTAGTTATTATAATCATCATGATATATGCAGAGCATTATACGGAATTGCTTTAAACATACAGTTGGATGGAGGCGGGAATGTGCATGCAGTGTTTTGAACGTATACGGAGATATTCAGTGTGCAAGAAAGATTTAAGAGTGAACGGACGCACAAATTCAGCTAGAAATATTTAATTTGAATATCACCATTTAACGTTTAAATGAAATTTGACGTCGACTACTGATATGATACTGATTAAAACATCTTACATACGCATTGAAAACATTAAAAATCTCAATACATTCAGTGGACGCCGCAGGGTGGTAGTTTGTAAAGACGCAAGAAGTCCTTCGCGATATATATATATATATAGTATTATTATCTACATAGCCCAATTACCTACCTATCTATTTAAATTCCAATTAAGGGAGCAGGCCGTGGGTAGAGCAAGCCTTAATAATGAGCATTGAAAAAAAAATGTTCTTTTCCTATGCCATCATTGGTTACCTAGCAACGTTTTGTTATTAAACATTCTACATCAAATTTGGCTAGAGTATAGAAGCGGATATTCTATTTCGACAGTTGGTGTGAAATCGCCACAGTCGCCGCAATTTGTATGAAAATAGAATATTCGCTTTTAGTTGCTGGTTGCTTGTATCCAACACAAAACACCTTTGGGTGGGTGCTTAATAGCTCTCATCCAAAAAAGTTTTGACGTTGACTCCGCCCAAATTTGTGAAACAAATATATACCTGAAGTTCGCGTGACATGCGACAGGAGACGTCGAATTTTGCGCATTAAAAGTACCAAATTCGTTTTAGCGGAATAACTCTAAAACTAAAGGGATTAAAAAAATCCGTAGTGACAGTTGTCGATCATGCATAAATATAATTAATTATCTAATTTTTTGTCCTAATAACCTGTAGCATTTCGAGGATGAATCGAAAAAATGTGAAAATTAGATGTCATTTCGTGATTTTTATCTATCGAGGAAACTTTATTGTTTTATGTTTCTGATTAATGTCTATGCTTGAATATATCGTGTAGTTACTCATACAATATTTTATTTTTAACTTTAAAGTTGATATACCCCTCTAAAATCAAATCGAAGATTAGGAATTTTTCCTCTGCTCCCTCTTAAGTGATAGTATAGAACACGTTTACTTGCCGGAATACAGTAATGTTGAAGGTCTTAAGTAATATTAGGTTGTATTCGACCTTACAACCAGATGTGCAAATATTATGGGTAAATAGTATCGTACTAAAAATTAAGACAATTTATTTTGTAAGATAAAATATATTTGTTTTATCAAAATATTTACCTTCGTCTATACATTCTTGCCATCTAATCGGAAGGTCATTTAAACCTTAGCGATCAAACTCTGGGGACACTCCACAAGCTATGTGAAGGCATTAGGGTAATTTTCAGGTTAGTCGTAGTAGTAGTAATATTCGAGCTTAGAATAATAACGCATAGAAACCTAGTCCGCACACGCTAAGTGAGGCAAATTGAAGCGCGCCAAAAGGGCCTACACGAACGGGCGGGCCATCAGTGCTCAAGGTCAACTTGCACCGCGGACAGCTCCAGAATTTTAGCTAAAAATGACGAAATGTGCGGTAAATGAGTGTAAAAATACGTCAGACAAACATAAAATAGATACTAACATCACATTCCACAAGAAAGTAACGCGTTTCAACTTGTATTTTTATATAAATATTCACTAAAACCGAAAATTAATATCGTTGCAACAAGACACGAAAATGCCTACATGAATTGGTTTTTTGCCTCACTTGTGACAGTTCGTTTGATATGAAACTATCATTCTATGCGTTATTATTCTAAGTATTCGAGTAAATTATAGTAGTTCACTATACATACTCGAATATTGAAATAATAAACTGTACCTAATTACGATGGCTATTTTTATTATTTAAATATTCTAGAATTCTGAAACATTATTTAATATTTCACGATAATGTAGTCAAAAAGTAAAACTGCCTAATTTTGGTGGGTATTTTTAATATTTAAATATTGTAGAATATTATCCTGAGATATTATTTAATATTTCATGATAATATATTGGAATACTCTTATACAAAGCCGTTTTGTGGGTAATTTTCAGGCGTGGCTTATTCCAGCGTGACCATGACAGAAGGAAAGTTGCTATTTAGTCGGTTCTAGTCGCAAACAAAGAGGATCTAACCACTACGTTGAAGAGTCGGCACTCCAAACAAATTTTTTGAAGGATAGTCCTCTTTTTTAGCCAACATTACGCCGATAACGGACAGGGCCAACTTAAGAACAATAACCTATTTGACAATCAAAGTAAGCAACATAAAAATAACAACTGTCAGTCAATATTAGTGATGTCGTTCCGTTATCGATACTAGTGACGTCCATAATATATCGACAACAGTAAAAAATTTTGATAATAGGTTGTGGAGGTTCTTATTAATAATTAGAAAAGAAATAAAAGTAGTCATAAATATTTTCTTAAAATAGTTTTATTAATTTGCTACAAATTGTAGAAAACAATATATTCTTACAGCACACGTTTAAATTGTTGTATACACAAATAATATTACAATTTTCAATTAAATTTTAAAAATACACAAGAAATATTCATGTAAAGTAAATATTTATAAAAAAAAACTATAGTGTCTAGAAAAAACTTACTTAAGACAACATCAGCAACAAGGTGTTCCTTACTTGTGGAAGGTAATGAAGCGTCAGGTTTGTACCTGACTGAACACACTGAAATTAAAAATCATGATTGACATTAAAAATAAACATAAAATCATTTCTTGCTGTAAAAAGAACTTAGATTATAGTGTCTATAAAAAACTTACCCAATTTAGGATCAGCAATCAAGGGTGCTTTACTTACGGAAGGCATTGACGTGTCAGGTACTGAAATTAAATTTTATGATTGTTAGGAGAAATATAAAAAGTAATCATGTAATTAGAAATAATTTCAAAATTTATAGATTAAGTCTACAAAAAACTTACTCAGGACAGGGTCAGCAACATGATGTTCTTTACTTGTGGAAGCCATTGGTGCATCAGGTATAGGCACTAAAATCAATTAAAATTGAATTGACACACAAAGTACACATAAATTAATTATTTGAGACATCAGTTCAAGTCAAAAATTAAGTCTTTAAAAGAAAATAATATTATGATTTCAATTTCGCGTTATTATATACTAGAATCATTGTTAAGTTGAAAACAAGCCCGCTGTAGGATTCTATGCGGCATCGTAGAGCGGACTGGTTTTCGCTGGTTTGGAAGCAGTTTTGCAATTCATTTTCATCCAATGTATTTTCGGTATCATAAGACAAACCTGTTTTGTTCTTTGCAGCAGTATGCAGAGGAAAATGTTGAAGTTGTTTATCAGTCAGTGGAGGTGAGGATAATTGCAGTTTAGGTACAGCAATATTCTTCAAACAATTCATTTCCTTACTAAAATGACTTTTTTCGAAGTGATCTCCGCAGATATGGCGTCGTTCATTAAGTTTTTCAATAGGCATATGTGCCAAATCTTCAATGCCAACAGCTCTAACCCACTCCTTGCAGCTGAAAGTATAGATACTTATTTATCAAACAAATTTTCATAGTTTTTTAGTTAAAAAGATTTTACATGAAAGATCAATATCAGAGGATGCATACGCAAACTGGTCATCAATTTAATTGTTGTTCTTTATATATTAACCCAACTCACTAGAAAAGGATAAATAATCTTTAATTTTAAGATTCTACCTTGTAAAATGTCCAAAGTTAACCTATACAAATGTGGTGACATGTGATGAAATATAAAAAAAAAAACATTTAATTTAAATCTTAACATCATTGCAGTACAGGCTAATTTTGCTTTCAAAAATTTAAGGGCCCAAAAACACCATACTTCTAATGGAAACTTAACAAAATGCACCATATGCAGCTTCTACTGGAAACTTAACAATGTGCACCATATTTACCTTCAACTGAAAATTACTTGAACATAAGAGTAATGGAGCAGTCTTTATTGTAAATATTAATTGATTTTTATATATACACTCTCGGACACATAATTCGAGTCACTAAATAATAATAAATTAAAATTAAATAATAATAAATTAAATTTTTTAAAAAGTATAAAAACATAATGCTAAAAATGTGACATAACAACTTACAAATTTACAATGATATGCATAAGTCAATGATGATATGCCTCAATTTCACATTTTTCTTAAATTTTAAGCCATAAAGGCTTTAATTTATGTTCTATAGGGTATTCAGTGGCTGTCGAAATTGTGACTTCGAGATGAAAGTCGGGCCAACGATCGCTACTGACATGCTAAATGACACAAAGTATAGTACCAAATGTTTCGTTATGCTAACATGACATAGGTTACTATAATGTTTACTTACCGGATTTCATCCAGTGGAAATTTGGCAAAAAACTTAGAATCGTCGTAGAATTCGTTCGGGTTACTCTCTTGTTTGCCACAAATTACACAGTTTCGATGACTTGTACAACCCATTTCATACGAAAAACCACGAATATATCACAAAAAAAAGAGTCACTTTCCCGAAAGAGATTTTCAGTAAAATAAGTGAATATAGGAAGGGAAAATACAAAAAAGCACAGGGTCGACTGCAAATACAGAGGAACCGAAGCTCAACTCGATGTAATCACAGGACAAATATACAGAATAAACACAAAACACCGCAGGCGCAGAGCAGCTGATACGGAAAACAGACAAGAAAAATAGCCGCCATTCGGGATTTGATAGGTTATAGGTATTGCCATAATAAGCAGTTTCATTTCGTCTCATTAAGCCAATTACAATTATTTTAAATAGACCTAAAATCCTTTTGTAACACATATAAAATAGACATATATCCAGTATATAATATGGTAATGTGGTATAAATTACACCAAGATCACGGAAAACGCAAATGGATAATAAGTACTTATATTCTAAATCTGCCAATTAAAAAAAAATATATTGCATATGGCGGTACATGTTATTTTTTTGTGTGGGTGGCAGTAAAAATGGTCTAATTTCATATAAAAAAATCGATGTATGGCAGTTTCGAGGGCCTGGTCGCAAAAAACTAGATTTAGTCGGTCAGTCGTTCAAAAGTTATAAGGGTGTTCTACTGTCCACGCAACCTCGAGAACCACAACACCTAGCTAAGATCTGATTGCACTAAAGCAAAACACCCATAAAACTTTTGATAGGTGGACCGACTAAATCTAGATTTTTGCAACTAGAACCGACTAAATCTAGTTTTTTGCGACTAGAACCGACTAAATAGCAACTTATCTGGCTAGTCAAATTTCAAAAACTCGACCATGGTCACGCTGGAATAAGGCACGCCTGAAAATTACCCACAAAAACAGACTAGACTAACTAAGACAAAGACATTTTGGTAATTGTTTATGTAACTTATAACAAAAGTTTGTAAATCTTATTAATACAACTATTGGGTTAGGTTTAATTAAATTCTTTTTGAATTATAATGACTTTTTCTTTCTTTATACAATAAAAAAATATAGCAAATGTAGTGCTTCGATGTTTTAAAAATAATTATAGGAGTACAGACAATTGCACCGATTCTTTATGGCGTACCTTATTCCAGCATATTGTTGGGTCATGGAAAAATTCCATGTTGCAAAATTCATGCCTATATTTTTCCACATTTATCAATTGACACCTGTCAAAAGTTGAAGACACTGAATGAAAACGATGGAGCCGTTATTAATGATTTTTTTACCTAATATTATTTGCTGTTGTCCAATCATTTTGAATTCGTTTTACTCTAACTTGCTTAATGCTATACAATTCTATTTTTATCCGACCCCAAAAAGGGGGAGGTTCTCAATTCGACTGCATTTGTTTTGTTTGTAATTTGTACGTCACACAATTGACTATAAAGTTCGTTACAAACATTCACTTCCATGCCGTTCCTTTGTAATATAAATTGAGCCTAAGGATGCTTCGGCATGCTCAATGATGCCGCGTCGTACCTAGGGATACCGCGGCATAATTGCCGTCATTGTGCGCTTGCATGTAAAGATGCCGAAGGATCCCTTGCCGTGCCGTCCTGGGCAGGTGGTCTTCATTTACTTAGTACGGAGCAATTATAATGCATATTTATTATATCAATATAATGAGGCACTATAACTTCGTGAACTAGTAGACAATGTAGAAAATGCAACTATTTTTCCGGATTTAAATCGCGTATATTTGTTTTTTCAAACAAACCGACGTTTCGAGCCCTTTACAGGTCCCGTGGTCACGGTTGACTGAGGTGGTACAGTCTTCAACCAGTTATGTCTAATATTAATGCATATCACCCTATTTTTTCACTATAGTTACAACAGTTATTAATTAAATACCTTATTTTTAATTTTACAAAGAAACATTCCAATTTACGCTACATTAATGTTACAAATTATTTTATTGAATGAATTTTTATTAAGTTCAATTTATTTTTAATTAATATTAGAAATTAGAATAAATTATAACATAAGTATTAATTAGTACTGCAGTCTTATGTCTGTTTGGGATTTTTCATTAGAGGAAATACTGGATCCCAAACTGGTGGGGCGGAGAAACCATCTTCCCTGTTGAAATTAGGATGTTTTTTAATTTCAATGGCCTCTCGCAGCATCCTGGGTAGATAACGGACTTCTTTTGCAAGGACCTGGGGTTTGTCAAACTTCATTGAATGTGTAGGCTTATCCATGACATGCTCGCAGACTGCAGACTTGTTTACGCGACGGTGTTTGACATCAGCTATATGTTCTTTGACGCGGGTACAAATACTTCGCTTTGTTTGTCCAATATAAGAGAGACCGCACTCACAGTCAAGCTTACTGAGAAATCTTCCTCAGGGGCTTGAAATAGGTCTTGATAGATGCGCGCCTGAGGACTCTTCCGATCTTGTCTATAACACCTCTCACGTAAGGTAAGATGGCAGGTCTTCGCTCGACTGTTGGTGGTTTCACACGGGGCTTGCGGCATTGGCGTGGAATCTTCAACTTATTCACATGTAGGACTTGCTTTATATGCTGAAGTTCCCCTGCCAGATGATTACTGTCGCAGACACCATGGGTTCTCTGAAACAAAGATTTGCCCGCGGTAGCTAACTGGCTAGAATGGTGATGGGAATTACCATTGAGATACCTATCTGTAAGGGTTTTCTTTCGAAATACAGTATGGCCTAAGGTGTTACTAGGATTTCTTTTAATTAAAACATCTAAGAAAACTAAAGTACCACAATTCTCTTGTTCCATAGTAAAGTGGATCTTAGTACTACCTACTATGTACTACTATCTTTAGGTAATATTGTGAAAGTATCATCAATGTACCGTTTGAAAATCTTCTTTTGTAAAATTAAAAATAAGGTATTTAATTAATAACTATTGTAACTATAGTGAAAAAATAGGGTGGTTTGCATTAATATTAGACATAACTGGTTGAAGACTGTACCACCTCAGTCAACCGTGACCATGGGACCAGTTAAGGGCCAAAAAACGTTGGTTTGTTTGAAAAAAGAAATATATGCGATTTAAATCCGGAAAAATAGTTTCATTATCTAAAATAAACATTGTTATAATTAATTATTAATATTAAAATAGAACACTAAAAAAATTCTTTCGATCCGGCTGGATGCAAATTAGCGTCTTCTTAAAAGGTGATGCAGGGTTATGAATGTACTTGTATCGTGCTAGAAATCCTACAATGCGTCTTGCGAGATTCCATACGTGGGCCATATGGCTTCCTTCACCTGTAAAAATAAAAATATATTACGATACGTCAAATAAATAAGCTATAGTCTATTGCAGCCTTTCCCAAAGTGGGCGATAACGCCCCCTTGTGGGCGCTGCAGGCCTTGTGGCGGAAAAAAACTGACTGCTTATATTTCACATTAAAGAGGGATTAATTGATATCCACGGGCATAACTACTTCCAAGCTAATGATCAACACCATCTAAAGATATAAGACGGAATTTTGACCCTTTTCGAAATTACAATCTGTAGTATGGAAAATAGCAGCCCTCGAGTTATTAGACCACGGTGTTATAAATGGAGTTGAATACTGTAGTTGAACACTGTTTAGGATTTTTTTCGTTGAAAGACCAAGTACAAAGACACGACGCAAGCACATAGTAAAATTCGTGAGGTCCGTTGGTTCGTTCCGTGGCTTAGTTGGTACAGCGTCTGGCACGGTATGCAAGAAGACGTCGGTTCGAATCCGACCGGATCGAAGGAATTTTTTCTGAGTGTTCGATCTTTGTATTAATAATTATAACAAACTAGTGGAGTAATTTCACAAAAAATAATTGAATATCAATTTAATAAAAATTTAATTAATACTGTTTGGGATGTCGTAAGTAATTTACATTTTTAGGGCCTTGAAAATTGCCAAGTTAATAATTTTGACAAATCAGTTTTTAGGCTATCCAATTTTCACTCTATTTATTATTAGTATTGTTTATTGACGTCAACGCTAGTGTGGTAAGTATTCTTTAAAATCCAGGAAAATGACGAGAGTCCCAATAGACATTAAATTCTAAAAACATCCACAATTAATCTCGTAAATACGTGACTTATCCGTTAATTTATGTAATATGCATTTGATGTTATCTAATATTTATTTATTTATAAGGTTTTCCTTACCACAAAAGTTTTTGCCATGATACATCATTATTGTCAGTCACGTGTCAGCTTGCTTCACGTTACTCCAATGCAGTTGCTCTTGGTCCTTCTGTTGAAAAATAAAACTTTACCACAGATGTTATTATTAACATAATGATCGAACACCACGAAAAATTCCTTCCATCTGGCTGGATTCGAACCAGTTGTGTTATTCAATAAGTTGACAAGACCCACGTGCCTTAGGGCTCGTGCACCGTACCGGCGACCGACCGATAGCTTAGAGAATTTTCTAATAATTATCGCACCTACAGGGAAAATGGATATAGTATCAGGATTTTTTTTATAGCATAGGAAGGATAAGAAGAAGGAGATTTAATATTCATCCAATTAACATTCTGCGGCGATTACGAACTGTCATAATCTAATAATAATACGAACATTAATTGGTCATCTAGTAGTAGTCGCAAGCGACTTGCGAGGACTGATCGCTGCAAGTCTCAAGACCAATGGTCACCGGTCGCGGGCACGCTGCACTAAGCCATTTCATTCTACATGTTAAACAAGTCGCAGTGAGCCAGTGCGACCTCAGTCGCGAAATATCGCCGGCACGCTGCACTATAATGTAGCTCTATGTAACTCATTCACTAGGACCTCTACTGCTACTAAAGGTTGCTAATCAAGTTGCAATTCGACTCGGGATATTAATTCTATAAAGTATTTAGCCGGCAAGCGACTACAGATGACTATAGTAAAACTAATTCAAATATTTGTGTTTGAATCTGATCTGTAAACTTACCCAAAATTTTTATAATCTTCATGAGCCTGTGTCAATCGTCCGAGATAGCTGGTTTGTTCGTTTACTGGTTACTTCTCTCTTTTTCGGCTGCAATGGTGGAACGTCAATTCTTCTTGATTAGAAAGCATAGGAATAGGAGAGGTTAAATCTCTCCTTACGTATTTGGTGTTTTTCGTTTAAGGTCTTGAGTCGCTTTTGGTCTGT